ACTATTTACTTGATACGTTGACGAGTGTTGACAACCGAAGTCAACAATACAACAATTGAATGATATTGCAAAACAATGTTCGAGAATCAAATGATCAATTATAGAGTGTATTTGATAAAATGAGAATCTGACTTTGATTGTGGAGTGAAATAAATGAGAAATTAGCAGAAGAGAACATTTTTGGTGATAAAAGTCATGAGAGCGATTACAACAGCTCGGAAAAGAACGAGAACCCTGTTAAAACAAATGATTAATGCGACGAACAAAATACATTAATTATTCGTTGGAGTTATGCTCTATTAGAATGCATTAAACGGTAATGGAATGATAAAATCGGATATGCAAAGATAAGCGCTTGCTGACTGATTATTCTTTCTTCTTGCTGTCATAATTAACAATCGCCGATTCGATACGACCGAATGTGGGAGCCACTAATTTTTCATAGAACTTTTGTGCACCACCAGTTTGTGGCAAAAACAAATAGACCAGGAAAATGGCCTGAAAAAAGAATAATTGCTAAAATGGATAGTGAGTGAACGATTCTTGAGCAATGTTGACGCCATTGATGATGACTGATGACTTTGGTCGAAGTGGAAGTTTTCAGATGAACACATCAAAAGATGGAGGAATTTTTTCAGATGAATGCATCAAAAGATGAAGAATCAGAATTCGTTTTCGAATTCGTCTCACTGAACAACGAACCTTACAAAGCCAATAAATCGGAAAAGAGTAACGGATTGTATCCGCATAGAAATCGGTAAGTGGGAAAGCACGAAAAACGGTCCAGTAAATAAGCCATGCGACCGCTTGATCTTTCGCTTGACCGAATTCGCTCATCTAAACCAAGAAATAGTTTCAACTTCAACGAAACCTAGATATTCATCTTGTCTGGAGTGTATCTATGGTATTTCTGTTTCTCACTGCTATCATTAACTGATCAGCAAAACATTCCGCAGATCTTATTGTGTGAAATAATGCAAACGCAGGCACATATCTACTTGCGGTGTAGTGGATTCAATCTTTTGTATGTAATCTAGAAGGAAATACCATATCCAAGCGTTCGTTTGTTTGAAAGTCAAACGAAATCTTAAAATCGCTCGTGGATATCTTATTAAAATGATATGTTTTCACCTGAAGAGTGGCGAATGCAGGATAAACGAATCCGAGCAGATTGCACATCAGACCGGCCTCTGAACCGAACACCAGATAGAAACAAACGAAAGCGGTCAGTCCGTAAAAGAATTCCTCACGTTTCACCCCGCCTTTGTCCCCCAAATCTTTCACATATTTAGCCAACTGACCCGTCAGCTGATTGTAAAGTAGATCGAGCACTGCCGGATGGATGTCGTTGAATGAGTTAATTGTTGTTTGCGATGGCTTCTTCGCAATGCACGATAACCAACTGAACATGTCTACACTAAAATCTAGCATTTCAGGTTGCACATAGCATCAAATACCGTTAAGGTTGGTGGCTATCAAAGAGCCAGCCAGATAGATCATCAGTGATAGATGACTTTAGTGAACAAGTCCGATCCTATAGTTGATCTGGGAAACGTCTAAATTTTTTCAGTGCTTACGTAAAACCGCCGTTCTCTCCGAAATCCGGTCTTCAGTGGCCACAGACCGAAGAAATCTGCTCGTCGCTGAATACCGACCGATACAACTTCTCTCGTTACCCATTCGAATCAATCAATTTCGTTGAAATTCTTCAACTTCTATCAAAACCACTTGAAATCGCACTCGAATGTAAAGCATTCGCAAAGCTACTCAACCAACCTAGTAAATCGAGACAGAACCGACCGAACTTAACCCACCGTCTAAGCGAAATTAACTTAAATCCTTACCGCACATCAATCTCAAATCATCTAAAACATGCTTAATTCTTCACAACCGATTCAGATTTCGTCTCTCATTCAAAATGTATTCGTATGAGTCCCCCACTATTCGTATGGAAATTTTAATTGCATTCATTGAAGTGCGCAACAGTCAACAAGTGAAATGAATGATTTATTAATGAATTTATACAAAATATTCAACATTAACAAATCAAAAGCTATTCAGATATGATCTTGCACACAAATAAGATAATTGAAACGAATTAAATCGACCAATTTCCAGCTATATAACAGTATGCATCAAACGATAACAGCGATAAGGCTACTCATACATTATAAAACATCATACATTATAAAAACAAACTTCCATCTGAAAAACATGAAACATGAAAAATTTCTTCATCATTTCAAAAATTTCTTCATCAATTTGACAGATTTCTTCACTGAGCAGCAAAATCAACATCAATATAAACGAAAGGAGCAAATTTCAGAGAGATTGATAGATAGAGAGCAAATGAGTATTGAAGTAGCAATAGTAGTAACAATAAGGAATCATTTGAGATGATATTATGAGCTCAATCAACAAACATGGAACGATAACATCAATCAATAAAGCTCAGCCATAAAGGAAAAGGTATTGGTGAACGGTCAACCGAACAACAACGCTTATCAATGACACAAACAGATAATAGCAATGACATACATACAAATGTGCTTTACTCAAATAAAACACTCGTAAAGCTGCATAAAACATAAATGAATATATGAAGGCATTTGATTACCAAACAAAACGGTTCACAGACAACTGCAATACCCAACACTAACTTTCATTCATTTGAAACAATTTCTCATATCAGCACTTATCACAAACAGAACAACAAACTGCGGTTGCGGCAATAAAACCGAATATGGCAATCACTAATTAAGATACTCCAAATTCTCATTTAATCAAACGATATTTTCGTTCCGATTGAAATTTCTCACTTAAACGATGAAACGTTCAAGAAACACTATGAGAAATTAACAAACGACCTGCAACATACATTACAGATGCAAACGACCGTATTACTGAATACAATTTAAAGACAAAACCAACTCAACAAAATAAATCGCCGTTAATAGCACATAAACTAAATGTACAACAGAACACGAACGTATTGTAAGAAATTGTTCGGTTGCATTTTCAAGTTAACTAATAAATGTTTACAAAAACGGAAACGGTCATGGTTGGGCGGTATTCACGTATACTCTCGTCGAGCTATCATCCGCTTACGATGGACACGGTGGTGCCGAAGTGAACAGTCCAAAAATGTTAACCAGAGGGAACATCAGACACGATCCAAGGAATGAACCAATCTGAAATTAATGCGCACAATCAACGATCAATTCACCAATGCCTCATTCAAAACAATCACACACCTCACCAATGCGAGAATTCTTCAAAAACGATCAACTTTCAAATAGCACCAACAAATTTGCTGTCATAAACTAATGCCGAACATAACCTAACCATTGCGATATAACTTCAAAAAGCTATCATCAAAAACACAAACCTGTATAAACACACCACACCAAAACAACTTCGACTCACTATCTTCAGCACTTTCACGTAGCACTGTTGCGAATACGGTACGCAGATATGAATGCAATGCGCATGCAACCACCACCACGACCGTCTGAAATCTGGTTCCTTTTGAAGAGAATCAAACTTCACCCTACTCTCGACAGAAATGATATCAGAAAATCAATCATGACTACTAACAAATCCTTATGAATGCCGATTACAGTAATAAAAAAACAAACAACAGACCAGTATCACAACAATAATAACGGTAACCTACACATAGAATGCTTCCATAAACAGACGAATAAAGGTAAGGCGTTGGACTCATCGCAGCCAACATAACAATAAATGCCGTCAGAGCCGTCGAGAGAACAGTGAGCAATGTCAGCGGAACAATTCGCTTAGGCTGGAGAAACATCGGTATAAAGCAAGCCACAGGCGCGAATATATTTGACAGTGTTAGTCCAAGATGGTATGTGGCCTGAAATTTATTCAATNCACTGTAAAAATAAAACTGTCCTGTACAATTCAATAGATAAAATGAAACATCTTTAATATTTTTACAACACAAGCCACGAACCTGAGAGTACGGAATCGCCGCAAAACTCTGAATGCTCGGTATGATTCCGTTCATCTGTGCATTCACCAGTGCCATCAGAAACAACAAATAACCATAACGCATCTTACTCACCCCATTCACCCGCTCCTCTTCATGACTCATATCCGCATATCGCTGTAACCAAAAGATAATTCATCTCACATTGCGTTTTACAATCCATTATTTTACACAGCTAACACCCACTCTGCGAATCCATGTGTAGAGAACTCAAAAAAGAGGAAGGAAAATTTTTCACGAAGAACACGGGAGAATTCAAAAAATTTTGATTTTTTGGATCTGTTATGAATTTGCCAATCCCCTCATTACCATTTCACAATACTAACCAATTCAAACAGCATTTGGAATTGTTCAAATAGCCGAACCACTATTGCTTCGACAATTTCCATAATTCTCACTGAACTTTCTGCTCAAGAACGAGCAGCTTTTTGCTAGCTGAATCTAAACGAATCAAGAAATGTAATCGAGCACTACTTTTTGACGTACATGCAATGGACTTGTTTCATCCACTGGCAAATCTGCATTACTGCGAATCTTTGGCTCTCTTTTCGTGCTTTCAGATGCTATATTCGACCATCTCAGCAACACGAACGATACTGTGCACAGTACCAACCAGACGAACATCACCAAATTGTATTCACGAATCCCAAACCGAACCGCAATCTTCTCACGTGTCATCGTTCCATTCACCATCACACATTCATCACTCGATCCTGACTCATTCATTTACTCACTCATTCACCTACTCCGTTAATTATGCACAACTTACCACTGCATTCATGTCATCACTTCCACATATTTAATAGAATCTCTGCTTCAGCTCTTCAATCTCATCCCAACACTGGGCAATTCGAGCATTGATGCAAAAGAAAGTTACTTGGCAATAAGNAAGTATAAGTACCTTGTGCGATGGACACCAAACTCGGGAAAAGAGCACTCAAACCCATTCCGACAAAATACGCAGTGAAGTAAGTGGGATGAAAAGTTGACATATATGGCATAAACAACACATTCGATGTAGCATTCACTAAGGCCATTCCTGTAAGAAATGAAATTGCGAATAGCTACTTCATTATCAACAATATTAGAGATCGTAACTGCATAACTCAGTCAAATTTCGTTCATGACGATGATAAGTATCGAGATGTACGAAATGATACAGTCTCAGTAATATAAATTATTTGCAAAATATTACAAAAATAAAGAGACAAACCGAACAATAAGATGACGAGAGCCACAGAATGTTGCTGACCAAACACGAAATAGGTGACATTCCAGAAGAACGCCAGAAGTGCCGTACATACGCAACAAAATACTAACAACGCAAGAATGGCCGGTGCAGTTGGCACATTAACTTTTGTGCATTTATGCAGTATGCTGTAGATTAGAGGACCTATACACGCAATCTGCAAAACCATCCTTATCATTCACTTTATCAAACATAGCCCAGCCCAACCGGTAAGGTCTTGGAGTGCAACTCAGCGGTTCTAGGTCTGAAATTTCACAGTTTCTCAGTAAAGAGAATGTTGCCAATCCTATATTCAGCGTATATAGCATCACTCGACTCACGTTGGGACATAAAATGATGAAAAAATTGACAGATTAGAGCGGAAACCTGCACGACAGCAGCCAAATACGACGGAAGACTCCAACCCTCTGGCAAACGGTCGGTGAGAAGCGGTAGTTCCATCCATACGGAATTCGTGCTCAGCCATGAACTCGACCCGAACAGCGCCACTAAAACGTAAACAATCACTCTGATGGCCATCGCTTAGCCTCTCACCCACAACAATTTCGAACGTACCGCCGAATCACACCTGAAATATAACATATCACTGGGCAAAACTTGATTCGAATAGAACGTCAATAATTCGAATCGCGCTTCACAACGAAATCGACATCAGCTACCAACAACAACNAAACAAAACTCACCCGACATCGCTCATTTACCGTATCCTTGACAGAATCAATTCACAATTATTGACAATCAAAAACCATTGATAAAGAAGTGATTATTTTGTCTTTTGATTGCCTGAAAATGAACAGTTCTGATTGAGAATTCATGAAGAAATACTGTTGCACTAGAGCGGTTACCAATTCAAGAGACCGCTAGTCTCAGGTTTGCCTAGCACTCTGCGAACACCATTCGATCCAGTGCAACCTGTACAAACACACATATTGCCGAAGAGTTCTGCCTACATGGGGAGATACAGCTAGTTTCTTAAATCTACCTCACATAGCTCATTCACATACCGTATCTTCTGGATTATCAGCAGTACTTTAAAGCCTTCAATTTCCTCGAAAACCCACAGTGATTACTTCTGGTTACTGACCTCGAAGCAGTTTCGCATGCCACTTGGCGCTGCGCAAAGGTTTATAAGTGCATTATTTTGAATATGCTCTTTAACATTGGAAGAATGTTAAGAGTTGAGATATCTTCAAGAAAATAGCTATATCTCCTCAAGAAAGCAAAATTACTCGTCCAAGAATATGTTTTATTGAATCTAGAGATTCCTCTGGATCGACTGGTATACAAACATTCATATGTTTCTGGGCAAACCTGAAGATACGTTATGCTCGAAGATGGCAAATCGCTAACCGTCTTCTCAGGTTTGCCCGGAAACATGCAAATTTCTTTTCA